AGAGAAATAACTTTCAATATAATAAAACTAATACTTCACAAAAGATACTTTTATATTACAGATATGTGAGATATGTACAGCTGTTTCTTGATCCTTATGAAAATTAAAAGAGGAAATAATGCTAGGAATATGTAACCAAAGTTGTTGAATTTTACAGGGGAATGACAAATTATTGTTTCTCTAACCATAAGTAAAATGAAAAAACAAAACCTACTAAAGTGTATAAAAAACATACATGTGGAAATTATTCAGCTGATCCTCGGGATTAATACATTATATGACAATAAACAATCAAAGTTAATATGAAATATACACCAAGTGGAAACCATTCAGCTAATCCTCAGGACTTGTACATTATATGACAATAAACAATCAAAGTTAATATGAAATATACACCAAGTGGAAACCATTCAGCTAATCCTCAGGACTTGTACATTATATGACAATAAACAATCAAAGTTAATATGAAAAAGTCCTGAGGATTAGCTGAATGGTTTCCACTTGGTGTATATTGTCATATAATGTACGAAACAATCAAAGTTAATATGAAATATACATCAAGTGGAAACCATTCAGCTAATCCTCAGGACTTGTACATTATATGACAAGAAACAATCAAAGTTAATATGAAATATACACCAAGTGGAAACCATTCAGCTAATCCTCAGGACTTGTACATTATATGACAAGAAACAATCAAAGTTAATATGAAGTATACACCAAGTGGAAATTATTCAACTAATCCTCAGGACTAATACATTATATGACAACAAATAATCCAATTTAGTATGAAATATACGCCAAGTGGAAACCATTCAGCTAATCCTCAGGACTTGTACGTTATATGACAACAAATAATCAAAGCTGATATGAAATATACACCAAGTGGAAACCATTCAACTAATCCTCAGGACTAATACATTATATGACAACAAATAATCCAATTTAGTATGAAATATACGCCAAGTGGAAACCATTCAGCTAATCCTCAGGACTTGTACATTATATAACAAGAAACAATCAAAGTTAATATGAAATATACACCAAGTGGAAACCATTCAGCTAATCCTCAGGACTTGTACATTATATGACAAGAAACAATCAAAGTTAATATGAAATATACACCAAGTGGAAACCATTCAGCTAATCCTCAGTCCATAACAGGCTTTATTTCCACTAGGAGATGACCATTCTAACCAAAAGATACTGTGTGTTTAATAATTTATTTGTATTAATATATTTTCCAGTTAGCTATGTATGTATAACTAAACAAACACAACATACGTCCATATTTACAGAGGTCTTCTAGAACACCATGAACTACAGATAGTACTGAATTAGTAATATGTAGGGGATTTCAACAAACACAATATACTTGATAAAATTTAGTTGAATGAATGCCAACTGTCTGTTGTAGAAACAAAAGTGTAAAAGATGATGTTTGGAAAGTCTTCTGCCCTTCATCTTCGGACCTGAAGACGGTCTTCTGCCTTTTGATATGTTGTCCTCTACACTTGTGTTTCTACGACAGACAGTTGCCGTCCATTCCTCGTGAATACTCTGCCTAAGCAATCTATCAAAGAATACAACATACCTGTTTATTCCCAGTGGTCTTCTAGAAGACCATGAACTAAAGATGGCACTTGAAGAAAACGTTAAGGGCAGATGCATGGTGCTGATGTTTACGGGTGATGAAATGTTGTTAGTTGAAAAGTCCACTGATGAAACTGGTGTTTTTACATATTCAGAGCATACTGTACTTGCTGTTGTTGGCTTTTCCATACCTATATCAGTAACATTTCTATTTTAGCTAAGTAACACTAGATATAGAGAATGGATTTCAGTGTACGGTTCTAGATTTCTCTAAATGTGTAAAAAAAAAGAAAAAACTTCCATTGTGATAATTTTAATGACTCTTTTTATGAACTGTTTGTGACCTGAACTTGTGAACTTATGATCCAATCAAAATATTAATTTACATACATAATGAATAAGAGATGAAAAGTTTAAAATACCAGTAAATAAAACAAACAAGTTTTTTTGCTTTAAAGCAAAGTATTTCAACAGGAAAAGTATGGACTTCAGTAGGACTTTGAAATAACACAGAAGCATTAGAAAGTGTACTACAGCTGGCAGAAAGTGTACTACAACTGGTAGATAGTGTACTACAGCTGGTAGATAGTGTACTTCAGCTGACATGAAGTATTCTAGAGCTGGTAGATAGTGTACTACAGCTGACAGAAAGTATACTACAACTGGTAGATAGTGTACTATAGCTGATAGATAATGTACTTCAGCTGACATGAAGTATTCTAGAGCTGGTAGATAGTGTACAACAGCTGACAGAATGTTCTGTAGGACAGTTTTCACTAATTAGAACTATGCTTCACTTTAGCTAGTTCTTTGTGTTTATTTCCTACAGTATACTGTTTGCCATTATTATCACAAGCTACTGTCTTTTAATAAATACTACAGAAGTAGTGTATTTCACAATGGCTTGCACCAACATGAAAGTTCACGACCAGTAATGTCTACATAAGTTAAAGATTGATGCGGAAACTGTGTTTTTCTGTGTAGCATTCTAGTTTTCTATACTACGCTGAAAATATACAACTTGTTAAATAGGCTGTCTTAAACACATAAATGGAATACAATACCAAGTGCAAGTATGTTATATTAGCATGAGATTAATAATGTTAAAAACTACCGTGATCTTGCTATTTCAGGACACAACTGACAGAGACATGCACACTCTCACACATGAAAATCAAACAACATGATGCTAATTAACTTGATGTATTGAGTTCAAGTGCCATTTGACCATTCCTCAGTTACTCTTCAATGGGATGGAGATTATGTTTAGTCACTGACAAGAAAAACGGAGAAGACAATTCGGCCATCTTGTTAACGAAAGTATTTATCTCTAATGCCTCCAAGAAGTTATAATTTGTGAAAACCACCAGATTCTAAAACTCTTTGCTATCTTGAGTTAATAATGGGACAGTTAGATTACATTTACAATACGAGTTTCATGTTGAGCTAAACCAAAAATGTAGGCAAAAAATAGGAATTTTGTCTGAAATGTAGGGAAAAAAGTAGTAAAGTACAGTGTGTTGGGAAGTGTAATAATGGTTCTCACAAGAATCAAATTTTCAGCTATTACACAGCAGTTGTATTTCTCAACTAATGGTCTGTAGTC